ATCCTTTAAGATATATTTGGTGGATAGGGTGAGATAAAGTATCTTATGTGTTTTATATATATATATATATATATATATATATATATACAGAGAGAGAGAGAGAGAGAGAGAGAGAGTATTAGAATAGTGGTCATCCCGATATTTTACTCCATCTTTGGGCATGACCCTCATAAAGAAATGAGGTATAGAAGAGAGCATAAAACCTTGAGTTTTGGGGTAAGAGTCTGGTAAGTGCATTTGTCTGGGTGGCATGCTCTTTGAAAATATACGCTAGAATCTCCACCTAGTTTAAGTAGGATGCAGAGGTTTTGTCATTGGCGAATTATAACATTGAAATAATATATTTCAGTATATAACCAAAGAAAACTAGAAAAAACAAATATTAGAATCTTTAGCAAATTCATGCTATAATAGTTTTTAACTGAATTAACCCTTTTATTGTTGGGAATAGGAGATTGGTTTTAATCCCTCCCCCCCAATACTCTCCTGCAGACTTATTGCTGTTGCCCTATAAAGTGTTACGAGTTCTCTATATAAACTGTGATTTTGTTTTTCTAGCTGTAGTGTTTTAGTTGCTGCTCCAAGACATTTCTTGTTTCAACCTTTCCCGGGCCTGTAGTTTTTGCCATTTTATTTTGTTATACAAGTTGTTGTCACAGTGTTGTGTTACATCTTTCAGATATAAGTGAGCTGAATCTACCAAAATCTTGTGCCATTCAATTCCCCAATGGCAAAGATGACCTGATGAACTTTGAAGTTTCAATTCGACCTGATGATGGATATTACTTGTAAGTTGTAAAGAAGTTTCCATCTTTAGATACATACAATTTTAAACTTTGTGCTCAAACTTTAATTGACTCTTGTTGAAGGCATTCAAGTCCCTATGTATTCTTCATCTTATGTTTATTTTGTTTTTACTATTTAAATGCTAAATAAAATTTTCAATTTGGTAAAGACTTGTACTCACTCCTGCAAAATGATGAAAAAAATTGAGAAAAAGCTCACCAGTCTCCACTGTTATGTTTGTTGTTACAGAGGTGGCACATTTTTGTTTTCCTTTCAAGTGTCTCCCATTTATCCACATGAAGCACCAAAGGTTAAGTGCAAGACAAAGGTAGGATGGACTTGTTATCTTTTTTGCTCTAATTTGTGCATTATTTTGTACACAGTATGCGTTTCATTTTAGTTTTGGTGAATGTGTCATGTTCATTTACTGTTTCAACATAAATTTATTTGTAGCATCATATGGTATGTGTAGGTCTATCATCCAAATATTGACTTGGAAGGAAATGTTTGTCTCAACATCTTACGTGAAGATTGGAAACCTGTCCTTAATATAAACACTGTCATCTATGGCTTGTATCATCTCTTCACGGTATTACTTTGTTTTCTTTTTTCCGTTTTGGGTTTTTCCTCTTTCGAATCTTGAGAATAATCTATCATTCTTCTTGTTGTGCAGGAACCAAATTACGAGGATCCACTGAATCATGAAGCCGCTGCTGTGTTGAGAGACAACCCAAAGATGTTTGAATCTAATGTGAGGAGGGCAATGGCTGGAGGGTATGTGGGACAAACCTTTTTCCCGCGTTGTATTTAGACCTTTGCTCGACACCTTCAAGTTCCTGTTCAAATATGTCATCAATACTTGAAGGCGCTTGGTTTGTAAAATTTATCAAAAAAATTGGATTTTACTTTTGTCAGTTGTTATTTTTCTTGGTGGAGCAACAGGCCAAGTTCCTAAGACGTCCAAAAGCCAAACAAGTGGAATGTTCTTGTAACCTCTGTGCTTTAATTGAATGTTGAAGTGGACCAAGCAGTAAACGAGTTCAGTGATCAATGTTAGTATTTTGTTTCCCCTGGATTATTTTTTGGCTGATCCAATGTCTTCCATGCATTTTATATGATTATTTCCTGCACCTATTGTTTTTCATTCTCGACTCTCAAACTTAATCCAAGGTATCACTTGTGCTCACAAATGAATTGATTTGTCTTTTTATCTGCGAAGCCAATAAACAGACCTATGTTTGGATAAGCTTTTTGGGACACTTTTATTAGAGAAAAAAAATAAGAAGGAAATCAATGAGTTTTTTCACAAATTAAAATTAGTTTATGTATATCTTAAATAAGATTTTGGAGAAATTAATAGGATTTTTTTACAAATTAGTTTACATGAGTTAATTTTGGCTTATAAAATTTTTTACTTCATTTTGTATTAATTTTTTAAAATGAATTTTGATATAAGTTTACCCAAACTTATTTTATGGTTCTTCATTTTCTGCATATAGTCTTTTAGTTTAATGTTTCTATTCAAGCGTGGTTATTGGCAAGAACTTACCGAATCTATTGTCTGGGTTCATAGTAAACTAAAAGATGCTCCTGCAACTCAGCCTATAGAGCCTTGAGCATTGATAATATGGGCATTGCATAAAATAACTAGATTTGTTACTTGGAGGAATTTGTTTTTCTGTCCGTCATAAAAAACTAGTTGATGTGAGTGGCGTGGTAGCTACTTTTAATGGTTCTAGATACCCAATAAAGTAGAAATCCGTATTCGTTCTTGTAGAGTTGCAAAGCGTGTTCAATGTTTTTTAACCTTTGGGATTTCAATTTTTTTCACCTAGTACAGTCAGCGTGAAACTAAATAAACTGAAGTTTCTTCTCCAGGTCGTGTGCTTTTTCATCGACCAAAAAAATTGAAGTTATAAAAAAATGCTTTTCTAGCATGGAGTTTTTTCCGTTTAGTCGAATAAAAAATGCAAATTTACTTGTGTATTTTACAGTGTACAATTGTAGGAAATCAAAATGATCTTCCCAAAAAACAGTATGAGCATGAGTTTCCTTATCCTGAATATGTTTTTAAGTTTGTATTGTAGCTAATAAGACGTGTGCATGAATGATATTTCCGATCCGCTCCGCTAGATATGACATCTCAAGAATAAGCAATGGCTCAAGTCAGAAGGAGTACAATCCTCAGTAAGAAGCCTCGACATGACAGAACCACGAATGTAGGTTAATCTGGATTCTTCGAATAGAAAACAAATGATCGAAGTTGGTTTCAAAAGTTGTGTGTACTGGGGAAGATGATAGCACGTTTTCTTGGAGCTCTAAGCTCCATTCAAATAGGGACCCAATTCACAAGCAGAGGATAGTCAGAGGGCCTCTTAAAAAAAGTGATTATCACATCATCTCCTCCTCTTTCACTGCAACCATTCTAGCATTTTCACGGTCCCGCTTAAATACGTAATATAGAGGGGTGTAGCATAAACAACACAATCCAAATGGAACAGCCATCATTGAAAGAAGGCCCTTTGACAAGGCAAGAGCCTCTGGTGTAGATCCTTTGATGCGATCAACAGACTTTGAGTCATAACCAAACATTTTCTCAGAAAGAATCCCAACCAAAGGAGCCGCAATAGAAGAAAACGAGCCCTCGAAAGCTCGATCAAATGCATAAATCATGGTACGGTGTTTGACGGGAACTACCTCAGCAAACATAGGAGCATTGGCAGCCGCACCGTTCCAGCTGATAGTCAGACCCATTATAAAGAGGGTGACAGAGAAGGTAAGGAAACTACTTACTGACTGAGGGATCACCTTAAGAAGAATCCATGAGAATGGAATGCCCATAAAGGCACTAAACTGTGCGCACATGATACGAGCAGAATGAGGGTACACTTGTGATAATTGATCAGCTATTGATCCACCAATGAAGGAGCCCATAGCACATCCAATAGCAAAAAGACTCAGGAGAGTTGCTGACGTATTGTTATCAAAACCTGCACAATATCAATCCATCGTGTCATGCAAGTTGATAAAAGTTGTCCTTCATATGTAATGTAGGACACAGATTATAGTCATCACCCCTCATAAAAGATAAAGGTTAGTATATTTGAGTAGGCAATTAGTGATCTTGATTTGTAGTGCAACTGTTAGAAAAATACAATTTTGTAACTTCTTATGCTGCATTAGCATCTATAGATCTGTTTAGTTAAACTTTTTTAAAAGGACTTCTGAGAGAAAGAAAAATAGAAATAAATTTTTTATAAACTGAAATTAATTTATGCAAAACTTAAAAATAAGATTTTAAAGAAGATAATAAAAGAGAACTTTTACAAATTAGCTACGCAAAAAAGTTGGTTTCATGCTCACCAATTAGTTCGAACCACATTGTGAAGAACACCATGGCAGTCCATGGCAGTGACCCAATAATGCCTTGTAAGACAATTATTTGAAATGTTTGCACTTTGATCACTGCTTTCGTGGCTGCCCAAGAATCAATCCAAACTGACGCTGCACTAGCATTGCCTTTATAGATAGAGTCAACCCTGCTAACACAAACAGATGATTTACCAATAATTACAAATTGAAGAGATATTTTATTATCCATGATTCACGAGGACAAAAACAATATAGCAGATAGCATGAAGGCCTAAAAATTGTGCTGAATGCCACATGGGTGATGTAGGTTGCAAAATGTCATTACCTGTCTGAACTCTCAAGAGCATCACGAGTGGCGGGAAGTCTTTTTCTTGGATCAACAACGTATAGTAAAACAAGGAATCCAATTAATGCACTCAAAGTTGCCATCAAAATGAAGGCACATCTCCATCCTTGAATGCCCCAAAACTGTTGTCCAGCCATGACAGTAGCCAAAACACCACCTCCTATGCCTCCTAAGTTACCAATAAGGCTCAGCAATCCAAATCCAGTTCCTCTCACTCCATCCTTGTAGCTATCAGCAATGAAAGACTGAAGTGCTGGAATCACAATTGCCAAACCAAAGCCATTTATTGCTCTCCAGAATGCAACCTGAAGAAAATCGTGGCAAACACCCACAGCAGCTGTAGATAAAGCCCAGCAGAAAGTGCCCACAGCAAGAATTGTTGGGCGATCATAGTTGATAACAAGTATACCAGCCAGAGGAGATGACAATCCCTGAACAAAGTTCCTTATGAATGTGAGGTAACCCAAATCAGATGGTCCTGCATTAAATGTTTCACTAACTTCTTTGTAGACAGATGGAAGAAGGTTTTCATCTGCACGCTCCATAATAGCAGCCAAGTTGATAAGAATGAGCGACAGAGACACACCAAAGATCTGTGTTGTCCTGTGAAAAGAAGATATATAAATGAAGCAGAATAAGGCACGAGCAAGCCATAGCTGAAAATCATCGTTTCAGTCAGGCATAGAAAAAGAAAGGAAAGCAGAAATAACACAGAATTGGGTGAAGAATGACCTCTAGGGTCTCATTTTTCTCAATGCTAAGGAACTAATAGTTTCTTAATGAAAATTACGAGTGCATAAACGTAATAAGCCCTTTTAAGAATGATGTATTTAATTTTAAATCGTTATATGGTACACTCTGTTAAGAATAATGATGCGTGTTAGTTTAATTCATTATATGAGCTTGGTTGTTCGCATGTAATACCAGTGCATCCTAGAGCATCTCATAAGATCTGTTTGTGCAATTTAAGATATAGGTGTTAGTGACTGTTGAGATAGCAACAGGTTTTCAAAACCTTAAATGAAGGAAAACTACACCTATTTCAAATACACAATTATGTATTTGTAAGAGCAGAACACCATTAGATTGTAGTTTCTACCTTCGAGTCTAATTTTATTAAAGCATTGTGTTTTTGGTCAAAACAAATATAACAAGGAATATATATTCAAAATTTGAACGTCAGATTTATAAGAAACCCCACTTTAAACAATGATAATTTGCTGCAAAATTTTGTATACAAATTTCCAACTATAAACTATAAACTACTCAAAGTGTAACAGTCTCAATATTAGGCCTGACTATAATTGATCGCCCAAACCGGAAAGATCCATAAACTAGTTCATCCTTGTTAAGTTCTGACTATAATTCATGCCTTGGAGTTTCTATCATGTTTGCTTCATGAGACTGTGGGCATGTACCTTTAATATAACGACATCATGAAATGTATAGAAGTAGTGAAAAATTTAATAGATTTATGCTCCCATTACAACATTTCCTAGTCTAGTATAAACAGGATATACACTATATATACTATAATCCATGAAGGGTTTTAAGTTCCAACCATTTAATACAGCAGCAGCAATCTGTGTTAAAAACATAAAATGTTTACATAGAACTAAATTTCAGAAATCCGTAAGTTAAATGGTCAAGTGTGTCGAGGAGGTGGTGTAGTTAATCCAAATCATGGAAGACCCGTAATTGCAAAAAGAGCATACACAGTCAAAGGTATTAGAGTTCTGAAGCACGTGAATAGATACATAAGACAAAACCATGAGCATGTTATTGTCCTGAAGAACATAGCTTCAAAAATCCTTATACATGAGTTAAAGTTTACAGCAATGCAATACTTTGGTCCTTGGTTGTGAATAATCATCATCAACTATCGCCAATTCGCCATAAACCCATCAAACCAACGCTAGGGAAAAAAACAATCTTATGTTATTATGTACAGAAGGGATCATAGGCCACAAATGATCCCTTAATTCCACTTTCTCTCGTAAGTGTCAACTCTAATAAAATAATCCCTTGCATTCTTTGTTCTTCTTCTATTAAAGAAAGGACTTCATGTATATAGGTGCTAATCCCGTGAGGTATGAATTGAATCATTACATTACGTACTCCTTGAGAGATATGAATTTGATTTAAGCAAATATATTTGTTACTGGCAAACTAAATTCACTCTTTCTGGAAACGAGTATTGTGGGCACATTTCAATTCAATACTTGTCCGAATCAAATAAAAGATTATGTAGATTTGAACTCATAGAGAAACAAGAATAAATGCTCCAAATAAATAAGAGATAGCTCCAAAATGAGTATCCTGGAAGCACACATTCGTTTCATTTATATCATATTTCTCTTTTTCTTCATATTTGTTTCCTTCTATACAAATTGACATAACCAGCTGATCGAAAATGTTTGTGAGACATGAGTGCATGAACACATATATATCGATTAAAGAGAGAGAAGGGAAAAGATAAGGTACTCACTTCATGGTTTTAGAGCGAGAATGTGAGGGACTATGAAATGGAGATTTGGATGGAAGAACAGGTCTTGAAGTTCGACTCAGTCCCATGAGAAGTGGAATCCAAAGAAAGAGGAAATCAGACAAAGGTGTCCGAAGCTGCGACCATGGCGGATCTGACGCAATTAACTATCAACAAATTTAACTGAACAAATACTAAATGAAACTTTCGATGCACGTGCTGTTATTTACAATATTACTACTATTATCGTATTTCGTAATTCGTACAAACGAAAGACCAACAGAAAAATCAAAGTGTCCGTGTATTTCTCTCTAACCCTGTAATTGTAAGAGACCCATCATCATCTCCTTCATGCAACTACTGCTACGCTTTCTCTCTTCTCGCTGCAGGTCAACGTAGACATGTATCTCATCTCTATTGCATACTTTCTAATACCATGTTTGTAGGTTATTTTTTAAAAATCAATTCTTATTTTAAAATATAATTTATGTGAGGTAGGTTAATCAATTTTTCAAAAATTAACTAATAACATGTATTAAGAATGTTTTAATTAATAAAGACGTATTAGTATTACTAACGTTAATCCCAAACGTGTGGTTTAGCGGTAGGGATTGATCACGCTTAAGCAAGGTCAGGGGTTTGAATCCTGCCTTATGTATGCAGTCGCGTTAAATCCTGGGGCCAGCTATCTCACCTTTGAGGTGTCTCCAACAAACCAAAAAAAAAAGTATTACTAACATCACTTCTGAATTTTGTCGTTTTAGACGACAAATTAAAGATAAATACATGTTAAGGATAAAGACGTATTAATGATGCTATATGGATTCAATTTCAGTGTCCTATTGGTCCCGCCAAGCAAACGTGGGACGTGTTACATACGTTTGCGTCTGCTCCCAGGGGTTGAATTTCTATTTAGTTTTATTACAAGAGTCTTATTGAGGAATGTTTTAAGAATAAGAATTAAATAAATAATTTTATTCAAGTATTAATTAAATTACGATAAAATTACACAAAGTAATAACAATTTTCTACAAAAACATTAATTTTTAATTTTTATCAAAGTTCTAAAAGATATTATTAAAATATTCTTCCTTTTTGTTTAGATTGTTGTTAAGTTGTTATTGTCGTAGCCGGCAGCGACTCTTCAACTCGCGAAGTTACTATAGTGATTGGATGCAACGATGCTATTGTAAGTTATAACTAAAAAATTAAAAATAATGGTCGCGTATAACTGGAGGCAAATAATTGGGCCAACGATACTGAACATTGTTAATCACTTGTATTTATTTATTAAAAAGTTGATTAGAAAATGACTTACAAACTTTGTTAACTTTTCTAATTGTAATTTAATTTTTAAAAAAAATCCTTTTCAAATATAATTTGAGTATAAGTCTTTTATACGAATAAAATTGTTGTACCTATTATTATAAGGGTGATGATATATATACCTCTTATTTTTTATAAATACACCTCCGATCTCTTTTTTTAAAATAAAATTTCTAAAATATCCTTTTAACTAAATATGATTATATTGATGGAAATGTTAATTTTAGCATTCCGGAAAGTATTTTCCGTAATAATAAAATTATTATTCCGGAAAGCATTTTCTAGAAGTGTGTTTCTTATATAATTTCATAAAGTTCTTTTCGGAACATTAAATTTAGTATTCCGGAAAATATTTTTCGGAATTATGTAACAAGCACACTTCCGAAAAATATTTTTCAGAATAAAAAATTTATTATTCCTAAATATACTTTTCGGAACAAAAGCTGTATTATTCCGGGAAACACTCTCTGAAACAAATAGTGAGAAAAATTACTTGTAGGAAAAAATGCATAAGGTTTGACACCTTTCCCTTCGACACTGAAAAGGGAAGAGGATAATGCAGAAATTGAAAAGGGAAAAAGGGGAGGTATGGAGGTGCGGAGAAAAAAGTAAAGAAGAAGAAACGGGGTGCACAAAGAAGAAAGAAGAACGGTGAGAAGGGAGGTGTGAATCTGAAAAATTATAAGTTAGAAAATAATAAATTCCTAAATTATCCTCACCTCCCTTCTCACCGTTCTTATTTCTTTTGTACACCTCGTTTCTTCTTTTTTACTTTTTTCTCTGCACCTCCATATCTCCTTTTCTTCCCTTTTTAATTTCTGCATTATCCTCTTCCCATTTTAGTTTTGTTATAAGTTGTAAGCGGGTTTAGTATCGAAGGGAAAGGTGTCAAACCATATGCATTTTTTCCTTTAAGTAATTCTTCTCACTATTTGTTCCGGAAAGTGTTTTCCGGAATAATAAAGCTTTTGTTCCGGAAAATATATTTAAGAATAATAAATTTTTTATTCTGAAAAGTATTTTTCGGAAGTGTGCTTGTTACATAATTTCGAAAAATATTTTCCGGAATACTAAATTTAATGTTCTGGAAAGAACTTTCTAGAATTATATAAGAAACACACTTCCGGAAAATGCTTTCCGAAACAATAATTTTACTATTCTAGAGAATACTTTCCAGAATGCTAAAATTAACGTTTCCATCAAAATAATCATATTTAGTTAGAAGGATATTTTAAGAATTTTATTTTAAAAAAAGATATTGGAGGTGTATTTATAAAAAATAGGAGGTGTATATATCATCACCCTTATTATAATTTGTCTGTGGGTTTGGGGAGGGAGGCCTGCCTGTGGTATTAGAACCTCTCAACAAAATGGGCTTAACTTTTTCTTTTTTTGAAGTTTCCCCTCTTTCTATCGACTAAAAAATAGGCAGATGATAAACACACCTCCACTCTCGTATAAACACACCCCCTTTTTAAAAAATATATATATAAAATGTCTAAATTACCCTTTAAAAAAAAGATGAAATTCCTAAATTTACACCTCCCTTCCCCACACCCCCCTTCCTTGCACCAGAACGGCACCAGAACGGGCCGTTCTGCAAGAAGAACGACCCGTTCTCATTGCAGAACGCCCCGTTCTTCTTGCAGAACGTGCACAGGTCATTCTGCTTGCAGTGCGGGCCGTATTGAAAGCAGTACAGGCCGTTCTGCTTGCAAAACGGGCCGTTATGGGGCCGTTCTGTTACAGTACAGGCCACCGCGTCACTTTTAAAATGGCTACCTTATGACTGATTTTAAAACTCTGATTTTAAAAGTCATTTTTGTACTAGTGTGGCTTTCCATAGAACAAGTAAGAGTCTTTCTCTTACAAGACCACCCGCTGACATTGCGCACCCCTCTTCTTTCTCTTTCTGGCACTCCTCTTCTTCTTTTTTTTTTTCCCGCACCTCGCACGCCCATCTTCTTTCTCTTTCTGGCAACCCTCTTCTTCACTGTTACGAAAAGTTCTTTCCGGAATTATATAAAAATGTTCCGGAAAATACTTTCCATAATATTAAATTCTTATTCTGGAAAGTATTTTCTGGAAATGTTTTGTTACATAATTCCGGAAAGTACTTTTACAGTCATTCTGAATAGAAAAAAAGGACTAGTCCCACCATACCCAGTATAAGAAAGGTTCTTTTACAGTCATTAGCATTCTGGAAAGTACTTTCTAGAATGTTAATGACTGTAAAAGTACTTTCCGGAATGCTAATGACTGTAAAAGAACCTTTCTTATACTGGGTATGGTGGGACTAGTCCTTTTTTTCTATTCAGAATGACTGTAAAAGTATATTGTTTAATAACATTGAGCGGAAAGAGGCTTTGGAAAGAAGAGGAGTGTGGAGTGTGGAGTGTGGAATGCAGAGAAAGGGGGTTTGGGGAGGGAGGCCTGCCTGTGGTATTAGAACCTCTCAACAAAATGGGCTTAACTTTTTTTTTTTTTTGAAGTTTCCCCTCTTTCTATCGACAAAAAGATATTAATGAAATGGGTCTGAAAACCCAAGGTTTTTCTTCCAGTTCTTTCAACGCTGGCTTAACATAGGCCCAAAAAGACAACTTGTTAAGGCCTCAGGGATAAATAGCTTTCTTATCGTTAGGGGTCTTTCAATATCTACATTTCCAAAATAAAAAAGATAAAACTTAAATATTGTCTGTTAAGCGGATTTTAGTTTTTATTATTATTAAAATTAGAATTTTACTCAATAATAAACATTGAAATTAAATATTAATCTTTATCACATGAGTTGCTAAATAAAACTTCAATGTTAATTTTAAAATAAAATTAAAAAAATCTTAACTTTCATATGTATATTTTGTCTTTTAAAAAAAATTAAATATCAAGAAATATCGAGATAAGAATTAATATGACAAGCTCAAGCCTCACAAGCGTAAGTTTCAATTTCTGTGGAAGAAAATAAAATACAAGCCTCGCATCGTTTAATTAACTCTCGACAAAAAAAGAAGAAGAGATTTTAATTAATTTTTTTTAAAAATAACTAAGAAATTATGATTGAAATATAATTATTGATCATTTACTTAACAAGAAAAAAAATTTAGTTTGTAACTGATTAATATATGTAAGAAATTAATTTTTTGATAAAAAGATATTTATCTTATTTCATATAAAATCTGTTGTAAAAATAAGGTTAAAAACTTATTTTTGTCCTTTATAATAATTGTTTGTTTCAATTTAGTCCCACTTTTATTTTTGGTTTCAATTTGGTCCCTAATAAATTAATTGGTTGCAATGTTAGACTTTTGTCCAAATTATTTAAACGGAGTTAACTGTTGGCCACGTGGATGCCACGTAGATGCATAGTGGATGCCAAATTTCATTAATACATCTGGAACTAGAATGACCCGTTCTGGTTGCACATGTTGTGTGTTAATTTTGAATTTGGAACGGGTCGTTCCATATGCAAAATTAACACACTACGAATGCAGCAGGACGGGCCATTCTGAAACCAAAGCAGACCGTTCCAAAACGCCAACCACATACTTACGTTCAACAAAATGCCGCAATGTGATTCAAAAATTGAAAAATAAAAATTCATAACATATCATAAATTCAAAGACAGAAATATGGTTCAGAGACTGAAAACAAAAATTCATAACATAACATAACATATACTAAAAAATTTCAAAGAAATTACTGAGAAGGGAAATCATTTGGATAACGCTGAAGGTGTCAATAATACATCTTATCCACCATATAACACTGAATGGAAGATAGGATATCAACATTATCTACCTATACATGTGGTTGTGTGGTGAAATGTTAATCTTGTATATCCTCTTCCTTTAATTCAGGTTGTACCTCCTCATGAACATGTTGTTGTTGTTGGGGTACATCGGTCAATGACTTCAAGGGTAAATACCATGTCGTTCCATCCTTGACTGTATAGTGTCAATTTGGTAGTAAGTGATTCACTCCAGTTTGACCAACAATGAAATAAAACTTGTTACTATTAGTGATATACTGCATTGTCCTTAATGATACACTGTATAGCCCAAATGTTTAGCAATTGAAGTTATTAATCTTCATTGACAATATT